AAAGAATAGCTAAAAATGGATCTGGGACTGTACTGGCGAAAACTAGTCGGATTAGTAATTTTTTTTATGGGTGAAAATGGTATGGTAACCCCACCTGCGCTAACGGGATACGCTGGCGGAGCACCAGTGAAGGGTGATAGATGAGAATGAAAACAGGCCAGTTAGCCCATCATGATGAGTTCCTCAGGAATTAACCATGATAGTTTCCAGGGGATCCGCGAGGAGGTCGACCTGGTTGGGTATATTGCTAGCAATGGGATTCTCAGTCTCCATTACTAACAATCTCTTCCCCCGTTTAGCAGATTTAGGAAGTAATATGACGTAAGCCTTTTCCCATTGTGATAGGAAGATATTAAGCATGAGAGCAAAGTTAATGAGTTAATATGAGTAAGGACAAGCAAAATATCCTTGAACACGGGAAGGAACATATGAAGGCTCACATTATCGCTGCCGATAGCTTTAGTGGATAATGATCGAATAGTTTTCTTGACAATATCTACAGATACTAAGCTGAAAGTGAATGGAAGACAATCGGGTGAGACAAGATTAGAAAGACATGAGATAGTATTTGCCTTAGTCATCACTGATACACCCCTGTTACACTCAGTAACGTATTACTGATTTGTTTTAGGATCAAAACGCGAGCGAGGAAATTTCCGATTAACAATATTGTTAAAATCAAATCTCAAATTGGCAAAAATATCGCGTTACATAGTTCGATAGGAACTTGTATATACTTCAACAATTAGTATACTTTAATTTTAACTGTATTACCGAGATATCAATATATTCCAAAGAATGATTCAGTTCCATTTACAGTTTACACCATCTGAAGCTCGTTTTGGGATTGTTGTTCAATATTGTTTATTCTAAACATCCGCATATTCCAATTATATTATGTTTCAATAGAACTTAATGCAAAGGGAAGTAACGTAAACTCTCGCCAAATGAATTATATGATCTATTTTTTAATATTGTTATATATGCCTGCTGCTTTGTACGTATGGATTTTAGTAATTGGTAATTACTTCTAGCTAATGTCTCAAGTAATAATATATACTATATTTTAAGTTACATCTTCAGAAACATAAATGTATAAACTGGATACTACGCAAATTCGTGGCGTACTATTTGCATAATAAATGTACAGGTAAAAATTATAAACATTGCTCTTATTGAGTTACCTTATATACATACATACATATATATATATATATATATATATATATATATATATATATATATATATATATATATGTATATATATTATTAATTATCTCTTATCTACAGGCATCTATCTATCTAGTTACAATTTTCTTATAATAATTAGACGAGATTAGACTCTTGTCATTTTCTATGCAATCGCAAATTAATAAAAAAAATATTATTAAAATAAATCACTAAAAATCGATCATCAAAAAGATCGATGTTGCGTGCTACTATTGAACATCAGCTGACTGTCTTATGCTCGGATCAACTGTGCGTTTGTTTACATTCTTATTAAATTCTGTTTCTGTCTGATTATTGCTATATTATCGAGATTATTACTTGGATACTATATATATATATATATATATATATATATATATATATATATACCTATTTAGAAAATTCTTTTTTTATATGAATGGATATACTTACAGATTGGTCCACATAGAAATTTTATCAAAATCTGTTGAATAGTTTAGCTTATAAATAATTGGTTTGTGTCACAATTAAAATCGCTTATTTTTTGTGAAACATAATTTAATAATTTGTTTTATATTGTTATTTAAAATGACACTCAAATATATTTTTTTATTGCATAATTATTTTTAAATGGTAACTACGGTATCTGTTTGTTTTTCTATATTTTTTAATCTTTAATCGAATATAATGTATCTAGTGAAAATTCCATATACTGATGTTATTAATATTAGTAAATTTGTAAAGAATTGTATGTAGTATTTTTAAATTCATCATCATCTTCATCGTCTTCTCCCTACTATTATCCCCAATTATTATTCAAAGTCGTCGTAATATGTATTTGCCTTCCATTCTTCTTTTTATGCAGTCATTTCCGTATTAATGATTTATAATTTATGTAAATATTTATTTTAATTTCTGTTTTGCACTACTCACTCACTACTTCCTAGGCCACGGTGTTAGGTTGACTGGAAGAAATCTCTTTTAGAAATAAGTTCGCCTTTACTAACATTGTTATTAACGTCTGTTTTAGTGCAATATATATATATATATATATATATATATATATATATATATATATATAGACTATTCATGTCATTTTTATATATATATATTCATGTCATTTATATATATATATATATATATATATATATATATATATAGACTATTCATGTCATTTTTAGGTCTTCCTCCATCCCTATAACCATTTACATTCATACTTTATTACCTTTCTTAAAACTTGCTCCTATAGATAGATAGATATTGTTTTCTTCAAAAGGGTACAGTAATAAACTTATTATAAATATAAACAATTGCAAGAAATAATCACAATGACAAAAGAATGGACGATCTTATCGCTAAAAGCGATTTCTTCCAGGCTACCTTTAGGTGGAGAGGAGTAATTATAAACAATTTGATCGGAGGCACGATATTGAGATGTAATATATGCAATTATGTAAATATATATCCTTACTTGCTTTTATATATGTACATACACTGTTAGCTTATCTCATATTGGGTTTGCTAAAGAAATCTCTTTTAGAGATAAGCTGGCCCATGTGGACTATATATGTTTTATTGTTTTTCTGATACAATTCCTTTTTGTATATGTGTATATAAACACCTGCATAAATACATACAAATATATAAATACATACTTACTTACATATATACATAAAACATAAAGTTGTAATTTTTTTTAATATTAAAAGAATAAGGTTAATAAACAAATTATGAAGATGACAATTTGCTTAGATAAAAGTTCCTAACTTTTGTTTTAAAACTCGGCAGACATTGTATATTATAAGTAATTATTATGATTGTTTAATATTATTATTATTTGTAACTGTTAACAATACATTTGTTTGTATGTAGGTATGTTTGCTTATTTGCAGGGTGCCAGTGGATGCAGGCCCAGGACCGTTCTTTATGGCAGTCTATGGGGGAGGCTTATGTCCAGCAGTGGACGGATAATGGCCGAAATGTTGATGGAGATGTTTGCACGTTTGGATATTTTCGCAGTTTGCCCTATTGAAGTGTGGCATTATTAGAATTGTCTAACAATTTTCGGAAATAATCTTACTAATTTATAAAAAAAAATAACGAAATAATATGTGTGCATAAGAGATATGGAGAATAGAAGAGGCAAAATGCTGGGCTTCTTATACGACATGACGATTTTTTAAAGAGCATAGAAGAAGGGAAAATAAAGAGCAAAAGAGGAAGAAGAAGACCGAGGAACAGCTACATGGGACAGATAAAATAAATACTAGGTGTTGTCGTGTAAGGAGATCAAGGATATGGCCTGGAATAGAATAAATGGAACTGGCTGGAAGAAGATGCATAAAATAGTTGCACCGACAAGAGGAAACATTTAAAAGAAAAGAAAAGAGACACTTAAAAGAAAAACATATATGAGAGGTCTTATTAAGAGCAATAGAAATCAAAACAAAAATTTTTAGAAATTTTATCTGTTTGTGTTTATCTATGCTATATTACCAGAGGGAGACTTTGTACAAAAGTCGATTGCTTGGGTACCTCTGCCCCATTCGTGTTTCTACCGTGAAGCAGTTGTGTTTGCATGGCTGTGTTTCGGTTTGAAGGGTGGGATATGGCGTGAATTTACTGGGTACAGAGGAATAACACCTGAGTCCTCAGGAATGGCAACGCATGGGGGGTATCATGGGCGAAACAGTATACTCTATTATGTCCATGGTACTGCTTATGACTATAGGCGACGGTTACCACTTTCCATCAGGTGGACCGTAAGCTTGTTTGCCATTCTAAGTTGTATAAAAAAAAATGTTTGTTGCGGCGTCACGGAAAAATCTACTGTCCAAAATTGAATGCAGTTTACACTGTTGTGTTCCTGAAGATTTCTCGTAAAAACCGAAAAAAAACTCACTAAAACGTGATAAACAAATTGATGGCATATTAATGCACCTATTATCCACTAGTATGAAATATAATTATATGTATTACTTACTAAATAAAAAAAAAACAGTGCCAAGTCAAATAGGTATTTGATTAAGATACTATGTACGTTCGTCCCGCCACACGGAATGCTTGGTCTTCGACAATTTACAAAAAATAATTTAAATATTTCATTAGAATCATGTTTTGTTATTAATTTTTTACAAATTTCACTTCGCAACATGTGGTATTTTGATTCGTAAAGAAAAATATTAAAATGAGACCAACTCTAGGGTAGACTAAAGGTTAACAGTAGGCACAATTATCAGTTGTCCAACATATAATATTGAATCGAAGAACCCGATCGATATTAATAGAGATATCCAAACTAGAGTAGGCGATATCAAAATGTCGGACGACCTCTTGAACCCAGAGGAACTCAATGTAGAAATCATAATACACATGAAGGAATTTCACAAGGCCATAATCAATATTATTAAAATTTAAAACATATTTCGTACTCGTTTTGCAACTGTTGCAGAGACAAGAGAAAGAGAGAGAGATAGAGAAAGAGTAGTGAGAGCACTACCTTCGTTTGCAAAAATCTAGCGATACCCGCTATTTAGTGATACTTCATTTTTATTTATAATCCCTCAATTGTACCTGTCAGTGTTACCCATTAGACGTGGGGTTACCATCTCATTATCAACCATTTATTTTATATCTAAAATTGTAAAAAATATATATCTATAGACATATCACTGTTGGGATATAGATTATTTAGAAAAAAAAACTCGACCGCTAAATTTAAAATTAGAACATCGTAATAGTAATTTAATATAAAAATAATAACAATCTAGATTTAATATAATGTATATTAGAACGTATTAAGTGTCACTTACCGATCTAACGTGAGGGCAGGAACGCGTGTGATGCGCGCGCGCACGTTCTCTCTGTATCAGCGTCGCGCGAGTGCTGTGCTCGCTGTGCTCCTGCGCTGCGCACTGCACACGGTATCGAGTACCGTGGCGCCCACCGATCGTACGTTAAACGAGACAGGCCACCTACTTAATATTTTTATTTATCTATCTCAATATTTGAATAAATTTAATGATAGTCCATATTAGCTGAACCTAAACCAGAATTTGTTTAACATCTCTGTAAATTATTGATGCCCATTAATTCTTCTCTTTCCGTGTCAAGAGTACTTACTCTTGATAAAGTTTTATTTGAGAAATCAGTTTAGGGTATGATAGGCTTGATATACCTGAAGAAGGTAAAAGCCCTTAAAATAATAAAAAAAAAAAATATTAAAATAAAAACACAATGAAGCATTTTCCAAATAAATATGTTTTAATTTTTTCCATTTGTTTGTAAAATAAAAGCTTCCTACATTACAATGCTTCTATAAACTGGGTTTAACTGATAATGGTCATTCGCTATACTAGTTCACAAATGTGGTTCACTACGGACTTCAATACACACATGCTTAAATAATGTGTGAAATCCTAATGCACATACAGACAAAATTATTCAATTAATTTTTATGGTTCCTTACAATGGAATACAATGGAACCTTTATGGTGCGACTTTGTCCATCTGTCCGTCCATTAATTAATTCGTCTGTTACAGAGTTATATCTCAGCAACTACTAATATTGTCGATTTAAAATTTAGTACAGTTTTATATGATATTGGCCCACACAAATTGAAAACGGAAATGATTAAAAAAAATTTTTCTTTGCTAGAAGGTCCAAAACGGAAACTGAAAATTTCAATATTAACTCACTAGTTCGAGTAAAAACTTTTGTATACTTTAAAACATTTATTTATTTATTTTTATGCTGTGTAGTTTTAAGTTATGATTAAAAATATGAGGAAAACTGTCTCCCGCTCCTTTATCTGCTATGTTTCTAAAGCGAAAAATCTGAAATAATTACAATTTATACAAGCATCGTTTTTGAGACATTATCAAAAACAAACTTGTACGATCCAGTTTTTAAGTTTTACCAAAATACGAATTGTAGTAATAATAGTAATAATAACTATTAGGTGTCATTTTGATATAAGAAACGCAATAAAGGTTTCGTATTTATGTACTTTTATATGGAACCTTCGGTGTGTCAATACAACACACACTTGACTGGCTTTTTTAATATCATACATATTTAAAAAAAAAGTGCTTTATATACCGTTTTCCTGTATACAAGTGAAAACGAAATCATTAGAGTTACTTAAAATAAAAAAATCTGTCCATTCTTCAGAACGTATACGTTCTTTTGAATTTTTAAATCATGTAATGTATGTCTTAATTATATATTTAAATGTATATCTTAATAAATAGATACTTATTAGGACTAAAATTTCGTGAATTAACAACGACCAAAAATTTCGTACCTTCATACAAAATAAACAGCTGGTCGTGCCACGTTAGTATGGAGCATTTCATTTTTTTTGTCGTTTTTCGATGAATGTTTCTTTGGTGAAAATGTGTCACTAGAGAAACGCTTCCTTCTTTAAGTACCTATAAATTATATTTCCAAAAATATTCAATGTACATTTGTGATTTTAATAGATTTTTTAAAGGCTTCTATGGAGATTCTCAATTCGGTTGCATTTTTTTTTTATATTTTTTACCTCATAACTCTGACAGTTGTAAAATTCTTTTTTACCTTAAAGAATATACTTCCAGTTTGTTCCCTTAAAAAATCATTATTTTTAAAACTTATTTTTATTAAAAACAATATTTAAATTAAAATGTCTAGTTTTAGTATAATTGGAATCGATTTTTTGTAATACTCAATCTTAAATTATATAATACTAGCTTTTACTCGCGACTTCGTTCGCGTGACCAGGATGTGTCTACTGAGTGGGATAAAAAGTAGCCTATATTCTTCTCCATCTGGTCATGGCTGGAAAGAAGCCATATTAGTATATTTAAACAAAGAAAAAGAATGATTTGAATTTTTGCATACTATTCTTTGTAACTCTTCATGTAATGTTTTGTAACTGTAATTTTGATATGTAAATAAATATAAAAAACACTAGTGGAACTATAAAAGTGGTATCATTTTGGAGTACGTCGTCTACCATCACATATAGTAAGTACCAAATTCCATTGTGATTTGTTAAGCCGTTAAAGCGCTATAAGGTGACAAACAAACAAACTCACTTTTACATTTATTTAATACTAGCGACCCGCCCCGGCTTCGCACGGGTGCACATTACATCACATCACATTAGAAACCTTCAAAATTATCAGTGTTTCTCTACTATATTATGCATGTATAATACACATAAACCTTCCTCTTGAATCACTCTATCTATTTAAAAAAACCGCTTCCAAATCCGTTTAGTAGTTTTAAAGATTAAAGCATATATAGGGACGGACAGACAACGACAGCAACTTTGTTTTATACTATGTAGCGATTAACAAAGATTTCAAAATGGCCGTACTCACTTAACACACAGCAGTGGCGACACGTTTAAGAGCGCCGGACTGGGCCTTAAATTAGATTGTTTTACTCACGCTTTGGGAAATAGGCATACTAACGTAATTATAAAGCTAACAATGTACTAACGGTGCCCGCGACTTTGTCCGACGTCTGGTAATTATTTTACGCTCAAATTAATGGAAATTCCAAACATTATCAAGCGTGACCCACTTATTATAGGACTGCATAGTGAATACGTGCAATCTGTCCCATTCGTGTTTCTACCGTGAAGCAGTTGTGTTTGCATGGCTGTGTTTCGGTTTGAAGGGTAGGATATGGCGTGAATTTACTGGGTACAGAGGAATAACACCTGAGTCCTCAGGAATGGCAACGCATGGAGGGTATCATGGCCGAAACAGTATACTCTGTTATGTCCATGGTACTGCTTATGTCTATAGGCGACGGTTACCACTTTCCATCAGGTGGGCCGTCAGCTTGTTTACCATTCTAAGTTGTATAAAAAAAAAACTTTATTATGACCATTATAATACCAGAGACTTCGTACAAAAATCGTCTGTTTGGGTACCCCTGTCCCACTCGTGTTTCTACCGTGAAGCAGATGTTCTGTGACAGCTGCCGATTTGAAGGGGGGAAAGGGATCGTTAGTGATGATATTTAACAATCCCTCACTGGTGCCCCGCCAGTGTATACCGCTAGCGCAGGCGGGGATACCATTCCATTATCATACTACGGGTATCTAGATCATGTTTTGATGTTTCACCCGTTTACTTTCTCAGATGATATTTTCGTCAATCAAATCACCAGATCGTTCACCATTTTCGAACGACTTCAAAACGAAAGAGAGAGAAGGATAGAACAGATACCACATCCACATTGTTCCACGTCCAAATACTAATTTTTATTCTCGACTTTATCCGCGTGACTGAGATATATTGATTGACCGAAATATGTCCATCTTCATCCTATACTATACTTGTATATCAAATTCAACGACAATTGGTTGAGATACTAAGGCACGAAGAGGTAACAAACAAACAGATTTTCACATTTATATTATCAGTAATTATTATTGCGTGTATAAAAACATAAATTTCTTGGTTTTTCAAATAATTCGACATTTGTTATTTATGTTTTTTTTTTATTTATGTAGTTTAGGGTGCATTTGTACCTAAACTGTCTCAATTGGCAACCAGTCCCATTGCTAGCAATGTACCCTCTCAGGTCGACCTCCACATTGGTCCTCCCTGGAAACCATCATGCTGAATTCCAGGCGTCTTTCCGTCTTTTAATGGGTGGAAATGGCATGGTAACCTCGCCTGCGCTATTGGTATACACTGGCGGGGTATCAATGAGAGGTGATAGGTGAGGATGAAAAGGCAGGTCAGTTAACCCACTGTGACGAATTCAATGATAAATTAGTCACTATAGTTTCCAGGGGGAACCGCGTGGAGGTCGACCTAATAGGGTATATTGATAGCAATGGGGACTAACCTCCCGATAACTAACAATCATTTTCCCCCATCACGACGGGTTAGCCCATCGTTGACCTGTCTTTTCATTCTCACCTATCATCCCTCACTGGTGCCCTGCCAGCGTATACCGTTAGCGCAGACGGGACTACCATACCAATTTCATCCATTGGGCGGGAAAGGGATTGTTAGTAATGGAGACTGAGAATCCCATTGCTAGCAGTATACCCAACCAGGTCGACCTCCTCGCGGTTCCCGCTGGAAACTATCATGGTTAATTCCTGATGAATTTATCATGATGGGCTAACTGGCCTGTTTTCATTCTCATCTATCACCCTTCACTGGTGCTCCGCCAGCATTTCCCATTAGCGCAGGCGGAGTTACCGTTACCATACCCTTTTTACCCATTGAAAAAAAAATACTGGTAAACCCCCTTTTATCTGATATGGTTACGTGTTAAACCATTAAAGCGCTAATAGGCAATAAACAAGTAAACAAACTCACTTTCACATTTACTTAGTAAGGACGTATTCACGTTAGTAAGGACTTGTATAGTGTTGTATTATCTATGGTAAGAAAGTACATTTGCTGCCGTCATCATGAAACTTGGTTTATTATTATTTTTTACTAGCGGCCCGGTACGTGCTTTGGCTACGTATAAAGTGAAATAATAATAAAAAAAAATAACATCTAATTCATTTATTCAACCAAAAAATAATTTTCGAACTAGCTGTTCCAGACACTTCGTCCGCGTTTCCGTCGTTTTTCGTAAAATAAGTAGCCTCCTTCCCCACGGTTCAGTAGTTTTGGTGTAACAGACACATTTCCCTTCACTGCTCTACTCCTATTGATCGTAGCGTGATGAAACGTATACTATAACCTGCCCAGGAGTATGTAGAACAATTGTACCAAGTTTCGTTAAAATCCGTCGAATAGTTTTTGTTTCTATAACGAACGTACAGACAGACAGACAAAAATTTTACTGATCGCATTTTTGGCATCAGTATTGATCACTAATCACCCCCTGATAATTATTTTGGAAATATATTTCATGTACAGAATTGACCTCTCTACAGATTTATTATAAGTGTTTGGAAATATATTTCATGTACAGAATTGACCTCTCTACAGATTTATTATAAGTATTTGGAAATATATTTCATGTACAGAATTGACCTCTCTACAGATTTATTATAAGTATTTGGAAATATATTTCATGTACAGAATTGACCTCTCTACAGATTTATTATAAGTATTTGGAAAAATATTTCATGTACAGAATTGACCTCTCTACAGATTTATTATAAGTATTTGGAAATATATTTCATGTACAGAATTGACCTCTCTACAGATTTATTATAAGTATTTGGAAATATATTTCATGTACAGAATTGACCTCTCTACAGATTTATTATAAGTATAGAAGAATATTATTATTTCAGCCGTTAACTGTCCACTGCTGGATATAAGCCT